ATAAAACAGTGGTTTGGGGTCCAAAAATGGGTCGCAGATCCACTCTGAATGGACCACAAGTGACTCTCAAATGTGACAAGTTTGTAAAAAACACATTTTGAAGTACAGTGAATGTTCGGCACAGAGCTTTTACTTCAAAGTGCTGTTTCCTGCTGTAGACTGAGCTACTAATACACAGCTACTTGACAGAGACAGCAAACTAGCTCAACAACATGGCCAAACGCAAGTATGACGCTGAAGGAATTAAACTGTCTGGACTTTGAACAAACAAACGACTAAAGAGAAATCTGGACCCTGTGGCTGAACCAGTTGGGAGCCTCTGATATAGTGGTTATTTTTAAGACTATACTGCAGCAACAGACACACCAGACAAAAAAGCACAAGTGACAAATAATACGTTGCAGGCTGGAGTGCTCTTTTCAGAATTATCAGTGTATGATTCAGCTCAAATAAAAAGCCTTCATCCAGCGACAAGCAGTTATCAGCACAGCAGGAGGTGGGACTGCAACTCACCCGTGCAGCCGACTTCTCCGATTTTCACACTGAAGACAAAGCTGGGTTGATGAGCCTCTCCTTCAGCCTTCTCCATCACATACACGGGGAGGTTACCACTCTTGGTGCCATATTCGTGCAGGATTTGTATAGGTGTCTTCCCCGGGTTGGTCTTCTGCGATTCATGTGCATTCAAGCTGTGTGTATTAAACAAGCATCCACAAACAGTTAACCAGGAGCACATTAAATAGGCGGTTGCTGCGGTATATATCTGGGCAGCACATCAGGAAAGTTTACAGACCATAAATAATTAATGCAAATGGAACCATTTGACAAAATTTACTGCAGAATAAAACTGATCTGTCTGTACTTGCACTTTTAAGAGTATTTAGAAGCCAACGGTCAACAGATACTGGCAGCTTTTTAGCATATAAATATATGAACCATCAAAACTATCCAGAATCGAAGTCAGAGCCACTGATCACCTGTGACATTACCATCTAATGAATTTATCACAATGCCCTCAAAACAGTCTCAATTTATTGTTAATATAGGCTACGCTAAGTGCCCAGAAAAACACAAACCTCTTGCACAATATACTGCTATCTAATAAATCAACCCAATATGAATTTGGAAATATGCCCGTCTTGTAAATAGAGGTTTTATAACTGTACAAAAATCTTTAAATATAATACAGTCCAATACATTCTGATAAAAAAAAATTACTAAATTATGATTTACAGAGGTAATGTATATTCCAGGACTGGTTAAATGAATTGCACTATCCCGTATAGTGGGGCTGCACAAAATGCAAAATGAATAAATAAATGAACAAATAAAAATAAATAAATACATTTTAAAAAATCATTTTGCAATTATTTTTGACAGATACTGCAGTTGCAATATGAGTCGCAATTTTAGTGGAATGTTAATCATTTTTGCATTTTATTTTCAATTTAAGAAATTTAAAAAATATATAAAAATGATGATGTCATTTTTGCTGGGTCTGTCTATCTCTGTAGTACCACAGTACTTTATTTATAATGGTCTGTTGTGACATAGCTTACCATTATCAAAACATTTCAGCTCCTGAGGATATTGCACTTGGCCATCTTGTGATAGATTAATTGTGCAGCCCTACTGCATAGAGATTTCTATTTTATTGACCACAATATAAGATTTCTGGGCTGCATGTCTTCTATGTTTACCTACTTTAGTCCAATCTCAGTGTCATTTTTATCACAGAACTGACAAACATTTTGCTAGAGCTGAAGGCTGTCCCACTGTGATATTGACAATACTCAAGGTCCCAACCTTTTCTAGTCTTTTTTACGAATTTGGTTAATGTCTGCAAAACTGCAGATTAGTGAGAATTTTACAGACTCCATAGTGCTCTTATTTTAAAAACAGGGATAACGTGAAATCTGTAAGCATTTAAAAAACACAACATTAAAGATTTGAATATATAAAAGTGTAGCAGCAAGTACTGTCCAGTTCTTTGGTCTGCGAGGAAGTTCTGATGTACGGGCTATTAATCAGATCACAAAATATGCAACCACCACTCAATTACATTAAACTGAATATGAAATGTGAGCTGTGCACTTTACTAACCACACTAATGTTTCTGCATTTTAACATTTTCACTGAGCACTCACTGTGAAGCTGGTCTGAAATTAACTGAGGTCTGTGTGATGCCTTAAATTTGTTTTACTTCACACAAAACTATTGCTGAAATTAAAGCTCCTTTTTTTCAGGAAGGGCTGCAAAAAATGACAAAAAGTCACATTGTGATTATTTTGACAGACATTGTGATCGTGATATGAGTCACGTTTTTAGTGGAAATGGCAATTTTTGCATTTCAATTTCAATGAAAGAATAAATAAAAAATAATGATGTGATTTTTGCTGGGGTCTCTGTACCAAACAAGCATATCCCCTCATGTCTGGAATATTACTTGCAGGTTGGGGCATCTCTGTACCACCACAGTCCCTTCATTTATAATTACATGTTATGACACAATTTTACCTTTATCAAAAAATTACAGTACCTGCATGGATCTTGCACATGAAAACACTGTAATTTCAATCAAATTTCTAACACTGAGCAGCCCTAACTTACACATGTCTTATCTACTCAGTCTGACCACTTGTTCTCATCCAATATATTTTGTTTGTTTGTTTGTTTGTTTTAATTAAATAATAATTAAGACAGCAATTAACGGCAGACATAACAAAGAAAGGGATATAATCAATCCAAGCCAAACAGCAAAGCAATAAATATCACAAAAAAGGAAGGGAAAGAAAAAACTAATCATGTTATGGTGCTGTAAAATGGAAAACTGTTTTTATGGCAAACACAACAGACAATAAAATGACATTATTTACACTGAAGTGCAGCTTTTGGGTTGAGGTGAGGATTTGGCAATAACAATGTGGTACTATCCATAAATAAAACCACGTTGACAGTGTGTAAGATATAAGATAATCGTGTTTTTCTACACTAAACAAATACGTCTTAAACCATCAGATATATTTCTGTAATGACATCAGTCCACAGTGTGTTACAGTAGCTCAGCAGCGGGACTGATAACTTTAACTGAAGCTAGCACATCATAGCTAACACTGTGACGTTAAGCCATTTATGTCTGCTTAACAGCAATCTTTATATGACATTACTTACACATTAAGGGTAATCTGGCTAATTATTCTGCACATTTAACTCTTTAATTACCTCTAAGTAAAGGAGTTTTATGTTGCCCATCAAACCTAAACACTATCCGTTAGCTAGCTAAGCTAATCAGGGTAACGGTAGCTCACTAACGTTGACGCAGTTAGCTTCTGACATTCAATTAAAAGTACACTTATTTAACGCTAACAGAGGCCTCTGAAAGACAACTTTCCACTGTTATATATTATAAATATAATTTAGGTGAGGCTTCTTTTAGTGGCCGATAAAACAGAGTAGTTTAGTATTAAGACCCAGCTCAACTAAATGTATTAGCGTCACCAGTGACCGTTGGCTAACTAACCGAAATTTAAAGACCTGTCAAATTAACGCTAACGTTAACGCTTCTTGCTAAGACAGCTAACTTATCTTAATAACAGCACCGTAACAGACTGTCTAAAATTCACGTTGAGCTTAATTTACATTTAACTAACGCTAATAATATTTGAGAAACTTTTGCAGGGTTTATTTTATGACTAGCTATGTAACGTTAGCATTATTATCACTAACGTGTTATTTCGACACTTGGCATTAGCAGGACCTAAGTTACTATATACTGTCAATATGTTGTCTTTAATTTACAGCAAACGTTAAATATGCTGTAATGAGTAATAAATGAACAAACCTCGTGTCTGCGGTGGTTTTCACTGCTGGTGTCTGAAATCCCTCCTGAGACATGTTCACTGTTTTCTGTCTTATTGTCTGCGGGCTGGCTAAAGATTATACAGCGGGTTAATGGGAAAAAAAAGCTCAGACACCGCTGTGGGATATTTGCCTGAGCATTTAGTTTTGTTATTGATGAGAAAATGAATTAGCCTGAAACAGCTAACAGTTCTTCATTGTAACCTAGCCGGGGAAAATTTAACGTCATATCAACATCCGGGTCACCAGAGGGTCACCTGAGGCCTGTGTGTGGGGATGAAGTGTTTACCGCCCCCTGCTGGTGACGGCGTGCAAGTGTCCGCCTCGGTTACAGCAGTGTAGGGTTGTATTCTGCTGGATTACAGTAGATTTAATCCAAAAACTACTTACTAAAATGGTGAAAGGCATTTAGATTGTGAAATGCAGCTTCCTGTTGGTGCTTCACAATGACTTTAACAATAACATGTTGCATAAATGATAACTTTACGTTCACTGACAGTAGCAAAAAACTGCTTGCTGTTTGCAGGATGAGCCCCACTCACATGTAATCTCAAAGACTTCAGGTAACTTTACTGACTGGATATAATTTATTCAGAACAAAAGGAAGCCAGAAAACAGGCAAAAAAACCTGAAATTTATATAATATGTATAATTTTGTAATTATATGCATGTACTGTAATTACCAGAGTGCAGCCCTTACCTTTATGAGTTCTGTAGGTTTATGTCTTGTATTGTTATAGAATAAAAAAACATATATAGTTTTAAAAAAAAGCAGGACTACAGGCAACAGTTAATTCCATTATTATTTAATCTGTCCATTTTTTAAAATGAATCAATTAATAATTTTCTGTATAAAATAATAGAAAATTGTGAATAATGGTGCTTTTGTTTAATTGCTGGAGATACATTTTCAAGCATTAAATACTCAATTAATGCATTATTTCTGTCAGAACTATTTGGTAGATCTACATTTTTTCTTTGATGCAAATTTGTGGCATTGTGATGTCACGGTGTTCCTTAAAAGCAGCAGTGAAGACTTGGAAAGTTGTGAATGTGATAGACTGTCGCAGAGCTTTTTTTTTTTTTTAAAGGTTCGAGTAACATGCATATAAACAATCACAAGAAATATAAATTACAACATATTTCCACAATGGCGGGTGTATAAAATTTATTGTCTCACTGATAGAAAATTCAACTGCTTCATAGATTTCTGATGTGTAATAACTGCATGTATAAAATCAAATGAAGCGAGGCTGGTGGCAAAAATACAATCATATTTGGGAGAGGACACTTGCCTACACAGTGCTTGTACCAGAAGTATTTAGTTAATTACGTCTGTTCAATAACCATGTCTAAAGGTACATTTAAATAACACATAATAGAAAGAAGATAAAGAGATGCACATTGTATTTAGTCCTGGGCTGATGTGCATGACTGCTGTAGCTCAACCAATTCATTAAAATTCAACATTAAACGTCTCATAAAAATGTATTGCTTTAAGCAGAGGAATGGAGTTGAACTGTACGTATCATACCTGGTATAAAAATTAAATATTCTGACAAATTTATCTACTTCCAACCATTTACATGACTTACAGTAAACCACATCTCAAATGAACGGAGCTGTTCCAGATGTCGTCATGAAAATACTGTTGAAATCCAGCAGATTTAAAATGGATGAAAAAAGGATGTCTGACATAAACACAGGGATGAGTCTCTGATGAATGAGTGGATCAAACAGGCGTCAGATCGCTGTCATCACTGCGACAGGCTGGGGGGAGGAGCATTGGGGATCGGAAAGACCACCTTCTTCCTGAGTGAGAAAGCTGGTTGAGGCATCTGCTTTTTGACACCGTAGGAATCTGTTTTCTGGCTAACATCTGCATTCACTTTGGTCAGGATGGACACAAGGTCACAACCCCTGGGGAAAAAAAGATACTGTCAGATAGTGAACTGAAAAACTACAAAAGCCACTTATAATTAGTTATTCACCAATTTCAAACTATCACATATCACAGAGGAAACTACAATTAGAGGTGGAGAAGTACTTAAATAATTTTCTTCAAATAAAAGTAGCAATAATAGCTCTAATTGGCAACTGGGTGGCGCTATAACAACAGAAAAATGCTTAAAAATGGTTAAAATGGGGCCGATCGCTGTGGCTCCCCCTGTGGCCAAATGTTTGTTGTTTTTTCTAATTTTTGGTATGACTAAGTCATGGTATGGTATGCTGTACATAATCACGGAAACTGTCAGTGTGTTATTCTGTCAGTCAGTCATTCTGTTGGCAGAGATGGCTGCCATCTTGTTTTTACATGGATTAGTGTATTGTGTAAATTATCTTTCCCCATGTTCACTGATGGAAACCTTGTTAAGACTTTTACTTCCTCTAGATAGTTGAGTTTGATCTTCCTCTCGGCACTCCGTCAAGGCCACTAGATGGCACAAAAAAGTGTCCATGAATAAGGACAACAGGCCTAAGTTAAACAAAATGAAGTAGAAGGTCAAGTAAACCCAAAATGTGATGTTCTCATTTGAGGATGCAGGGTCTTAAGAGGATAATGCTGCGCAAGGTGCCTTTGTGCGTTGGTATCTGACGCCGACATCACTGACAAAGCAGCAGTATTCAATGATTTCCTAATGAGAATGGTGCTGAGCATACAGTTGGATAATTGAGATTTGGATTATACTGCATGACTTGTGTGAGAGTTTGTGAGCAATAAAGAAATTGTCTTCACAAACAAACAAACAGTCATTTTGTAGATAAAATATTTCTTTAATATCTAAGCGTTACTTTAATTCTGTAGTTGGTCGAGCTGGAGCCAATTTGAACTATTTCACATACTGCATTACATTTTATAAACTGGCCATATGTGTTGTATTTGAAATCTATCAGATGGATATAGTAGAGTGCAATATTTCCTACTAAAATGTAGTGGATTAGAAGTATAAAGAAGCATAAAATGAGCACTGGTAACCACATAAAATAGACTGAAAATTTGTACTTGAATAGTACTTGAGTAAATTTACTTCCCACCACTGAAATCATCCAACAATATCTGATATTTTGTTTCACTAACCTTGGCACCATCTTGACGAGGTTTTGGCACAATGACTGAATAAACCATGCGCCATTACTCCTCTCTCTGAAAGAGACATAAGAAGGAACGGTGGCCATTCCTAGCAGGAAATCTGCATCACATGGGATAGACTCGTTGGCTTTAACAGCATCGCTGCAAACAGAAGTGCGTGCAGGACCATCAGCCTTGATGCGGACAGCCCTCTGCTCGCTGGTGCCCTGGCAGGCCTGGATGAAAAACATCTTGGGTTTTTCTGCCAAAGAGACGCACCTCAGTGCATTGACAGGTTCCTTCAGATCCTTGATCTTGACAGTGTAGCCATCCACACCGTACACACTTCCCTCCTTGCCGTGGCTGAGGATGCAGCACACCAGACAGTCCATCTGACTGTGGTTTCTGCTGCCGAGCTCCTGCATCGCAGACAGCAACTGCTCCCTCTTACAGTCCCTCTGTATCTCTACCTCAAAGCCGAGCCACTTAAACACTTTGTGCAGACACTCTGGAAGACACACAGATGACTTTAAATACCACATGCATGCCTAAATACTCACAGAGCAGGGATGAAAAACATGCACCAGTTTTAATTTGAGCCTCCCAAAATAATTAAACATACCTTCATCAAGCATGGTCCCCTCCCGCTTCCCGAGATTTTGTATGGAGTTAGAGAAGTCGTAGTTGTTAATTATCAAGCAGACACCTCTCTTTGATGCAGTCATGGGATATATTCCTAAATCCTACAGAGATGAATCAGAAACCAAGGACAGGATTTATTGTAATACTTGCACTTTGATGACAATAATCTACTTTTCATTTTGCCACAAGTTACACATTCAATAACTTTAAGGTCCAGTGTGTAGGATTTAAGGGGAATTATTGGCAGAAATTGAATATAATGAGTATGTTTTCTTCATTGTATAATCAGTCCGCCATGTTGCACCGAAATGTTTCTACAGTAGCCCAGAACAAACAAACCAAGCACTGACTCTATATAAGGCCATTGGTGCATTTGTATTTTTGCACTAGCCATCATAGTTAGCAGCCCCTCTGAAACAAGCACTGCCAAATAGACTTGATGGGACAAACTTTAACCCATGCTTACAAACGTTTTGGAGACGGGATATCTGAAACACAGACAGTGAGGTGGAAGCCTGATTGTAGATATTGTCCAATACCTTTGGCAAATGACATTTTTTGCTTTTGTTCGTACGTATATTTTTAGTGTGGATCCTACACACAGTTTCATAAATGAGATCGCTGGTCCGCTTGTTTTGGAGGTGAAGAGACAGTAAAAACCTCCTGACACTGAAGGAATTCTAACCAGGAGAAGTTTGAGCAGGTTGCAATCTCAAATTTCTACCACTAGATGCTACTAAATCCCCCTAAATCTTACACACGGCTCCTTTAAGTTAGCACAAACAGCGTCACATTACTCCTTACTTAAGCCCATGCACATGTAGAAGAAATAACATATCACACACCTCAGTGTTTGTGTTTTTAGTCTGAGGTGTCTGCTTTTCAGGGGAGGCCTTGTTTACTTGAGATGGCATTTCCACAACATCAATTCTCACTATGGGACAGACGATTGCAGGGTTGAGAGGCAATACATTTTAAGATGAAAAGAAAAAAATGTATTCAAAAAATCAAAAGGTCTGACACGTCATTTAACCGATGGCTTAACACAAAAACTACTTACTATGACCTTTCAAGGGGGGGCAGCTTACTGTTTGAGTGTTCAAACCACTCAGTGTGTGTGACAGGCCCTCACACTCATCTCCACCCTGAAACGCATTTGGCACATCTGGGGAAGTGAAACAAGAGGATTCAGAATAAATCCGTCCACTGCACTTAAAAACAGGTTTAAGGTGTGAGACAACCAACCCAACGCAAGACTCACCCATAGAGGTGTTGGACATATTCATGCTCGGCTGTGTGGGTCAAATAAGAAATTGTCATTAAACACACAAAGAAATATCACCATTTATTTGTCATATGAGTTTTAATGATAGATTCTCACCTCGGGCAACAGTTCTTCAGAGAAGAATGAAAAAGGTAATTAGGATTGTCATTCTCAACAATGGTTAAAAATACAACATAATGTTCAGTGTGAGTGCAATGTGACATTTTAGAGCATTATAATTAGACATGATTGAGAGCAGGAAAAATGACGATATCGAAAGTAAGTATGGATGCCAACTTCTGTCATCTGAAAGAAAGTTTTTTGCTTGTTTTATAATCTAGCGTGTCATAATTATTGGACACCATCACATTAAGCAGAGAAAAAAAATTATAATGAAAAGATTAGTTAGGTGGTGGATTTAAATATGGGCTTTCGCAATACAGATATCATTTGAAAACTATATTTACACCTACTCTTCTAGACTGATTGCTTTCCTACAAGCAAATACATTATGGATAATTTATTTAGCTATTTGAAATACAGATAAATGTACAGCTGTGATGCAAAATTATCTTAAAACGTCTTTTTACCTGGCAGTTCACGTGAGGCAGTCCTCTCAGGATCTAAAGGCTGAGGGTCCTGATAAAGAACACAGATAAAAAAAAAAAAGACGTTCCAGCAAGTGGCTGGCGTCACATGGTGTGTGGCTTTAATATCAGGATAGAAATGTGTCACTGAAACTCAGAGGGAGCGTACCTGGCTTGGATCAAAAGGGTACGACACAGACCTTGGTCGGCTTGTTTCCTCAGCGATAGGGCCAGTGTGAGTTACTGCAGGTAAAAAGACACAAGTAAAGCAATAATAAAGCGTGCAAATATTATATGGAAGTGAAATAACAATTAAATGAAGTGAGATTAACTGTTACAGCATCATCATCTCTTCTCATCTCTTTCACCTTCTACTTCAATCCCAGCTTCCTCCTTCTGGTCTATATGTGCATGTGTATGTGAAAATGTGTACATGCTGTGGGACATAAATCTGTTCACACACTGACATTGTGGGGACTCATTGTCTTGTGAGGACAAAACACAAATCCCCACAGTGTAAATAATTAAATTGCAGTGTCAAGACTTTGTTTAGGGTTAAGATTAGGATACAGGTTGGGGTTAGGTACGTAGTGGTTATGGTTAAGTCTCCAGGGAATTAATGTATTCCACCCAAATTAAGCATATATAGGTGCAGGTTTTTTAAATGCAGGAAAACTTGCTAAATAAAAGCGACAGACTCCTTTCTCATTGCCAGCAGATGTGTATGCCTTTGTTTATTTTTTCTTATGTGTCACGTTTGACATCAGTAAACAACAGAGAGCAGCATGAGAGTCAGTGTAAATGTTATGGTGGTTACTTTGTTTAATATCTGTAACTTATTCGGTTTCTCTTTCAAACTCAGTGCTGACAAATTTGGAACGATGTTAAAGTGCTTCTCAGACAGACAGATGAACTTTTGTAGCTGAGATGAGAAGAAGTTACTGTCGGTCACACCAGAAAAAAGGGGCAAAAATTATAGGGCTGTAGTCTCCTGGTCGACTAGTCGATTATTTGGTCGCTATGCTCTTGTCCGACCAAATTCTCGTTAGTCTAATAATCACCGTGATACTTTCATAAGGAGAAAAGTGCTACATCAACAGCTTTCAACAGGTTAAGTTACCTGTGAAAATGACAGCTAATGACGGCTAATTGATTAGTTGAAGATTATGTGCGACTTTAGTCGACCGAGATTTTCTTTGGTTGACTTCAGCCCTAAAAAATTAGCGTGTCCACCTGATTGCTGTTTCCATCCCTGCCAATCAGAGCTGGAGCCAATAAATATCCGTGACAATTGCAGAGTCATTTGTCCCAGGAATGAATGAAGACTGCAACATTTCCCATCAAATATTAAAGCCAGATGTTAGTGGGTGTAAGTGGGGTTTTTTGTCCTGTGGAAAAGAGGCTTTAGTCAATGCAATGTCCCCTTAAGTACCTCTGGAGGCCCTTCTCTTTCTTGTGCTGCTGTCTTCACCTCACCACTCTGAGTTCTGAGGTAAACTATCTGAAAGTAAACCTGCTGTCTCCAGTGTCTGCTTTTGTGTCCTTATTTCGGAATTCATCGTTACGAGTAGATTTTGCAAAGAGAATTTTCTGTAGCTTACCCTGCTGTGCTTTAAACTGGATTATCTTTTCTTTCAGCATGGGACACACTGACTCAATTATGGTCTCCAGCAAGTTTAGATTAGTGTCATTGATGAGGTCCATGTGCTCCATCTCCAGGAAGACCTCCAGGGTAGTCTGAGAAGTTAAGGAGCTACAGTTACACTTTGTTTTACCAAAAGGTCATATGATGCATACTGCAATTAAGCAAAATCAGTAACTTCATAAATTATTTTTTAAAGTAAGATTAAACATGTTGTGACGCTCTATGAGATATAACTGTAAGTTTGTGACTATGGCTGTTTGCCTAGACGCCATCTAACTCATGAGTTTCAAACACCTCTGAAGATGCACTTACAACATTTTCCACCAGTTTCCTACGCGGCAGCATTTTGGCAAGCAAGAACTTCACTTGTTTCAAGTCATCATCAGTAATCTCCTCAGACAGGTTGTAGAGCAGCTTCCTGCAGAAAAAAAGTCATTAAAATGTCAGTAAAACTGTTCAGGATTGTTGAGGGAGGCCCCATGCTTGACTCGACATAGGCCACTACAGGACTTCACTATTCTGAAGTCACCGGATGCATTCAGCGATAGGGATGTAACTCTGATACAGGATCTTTCTCTACTGTGAAAGTATGAATTCCTGCAGTGTGTGTCTGTGATTTCAGCTTTGAATCTGAGCTTAATGTTCCCAAAATAGTTGCTGTAAGGTATCACTGTTGATAAAATCTGTGCATTAATTTGTTCCCAACATCCTTAAATGTGTTTCTGCAGCTACAACTGTTTTCTACAAACTCACAAACTTTCTCATACAAAAACCTGTGAGTATTTTAGATCAAAATCAGTAAAACATTGGGACTCCACCTGTAAGGAGAGATGAGGCTTGTGGTTGGTCGGTCGGAGAGCCCCAGGTCACGGATCAGACGGGTGCGCTGGATGATGAGGAGGAGCTCAGTCAGCAGGTGTGGCTGCTCAGCAGAGAGGTGGTCTTGATCCCCCAGGCGAGAGAAGAGGTGACTGGCCAACTCCACTGAGGTCGGGTTTCGGCCCAGGAGGTCAGTGCAAAGGAACGCTAAAGCTTTCACCTCGTCCTTGCTCAGGGCCTTCCCTACTTCTAACAGCAACCTCTGGAAATCCATTCTGTGCGCTTAAAAAGAGATACAGGACAGATTCAGTCAGATGTCTGGTTTCACTGTAGTCACATATGTTGTAGTGGCAGTTAACAGTATGAAGTCCTGACATCACCTTTAAAATTCCATTTAGTTTTCTTCACAGATATGAATTAAATACTGACATGCAGGCCTACTATAAAAGTTTTCTTACACCCCTTAGAGTCAAGAGGACCTCAGGACCCCCGTGAAGCTCTGGCTATCCCTAGTCTGGGTCGCGACACTCAGGTTGGAACCAGTGAACTAACCAATATATACGGACAATACAACAGCAGGACAGATGATGCCAGTAGAAACAGACAGATTGTCAGATGAGTGTGGCTGAAAAGCACTTTGTAAACACCTGCTTCCTGTAGCTGCCACATTAAAGGGTCACATTTTGCCACTAGAAAGTGCAAAGAACAAGCTCAATGTGACCAACAACAAACTGGAACAGGACAATTGTGTAATGATTATCATGAATCCCCTGTAAAAAATCATGTGAAGTAAGTAATGTGACATTAATCACAGTAATGAAATATACCTAAGTGCAATTACTTAATGCTATACAGGAAATTAGCTCAATTTGTACTTTCCATATTGCCCCATTTTTTTTGCCACTTTATACCACAGACTGTCGAAAAAAATGGACGTAACCACCGTGACGTCACCCATTGGTTTGTGGACTACCATTTTGAAGCCTCAAGTTCAGTATTTCAGCCATCGCCATCTTGGCATTTTAGAGCCAAAAGTGGCCATATCTGGACGAGAGGCCTGAGCTATGGAGGAGTGCGGGGTGGATTTGACTCAGAAGCCAAGGCATCTGTGGACAGCTTGTCACTCAAATTGGCCTGCTCTTAAATATACATAACTTTAGGCCTTCATAAAAGCTTGCTTAGCTATAGAGATGTTTGGCTGTAAACAGCTGTAAAAAGTTGGGGGTCGATGGGGATTGACTGGCCTCTAGAGCCAGCCTAAACTCAGTATCTGCCATTACTCAAAGCTCAAGTATCTGGGCTTGTTGTGTCATTATAGGGACTGAAAAAGTCAAATCGGTGCATCCCTCTTTCAGCCCTCAGCCAACTTCTCTACATGTTGCAACTGGTTTTGGTACCTATGTGTATATGCGTGTATGCGTGTGTGTGTTTGTTTATGTGTATGTATGTGTGTGTGAGGGGTGGCATGTTAAGAAGTTAGAGAGTCAAGCTGTTTAGAGACAACAGGAAAACAACTGTCATTAAAGGCAGGAAACTATCTTGAACAGTAACGTTAGCACAATCACAACAGCCTGAATTACATTTTTAGCACGATTTAACCATTACAGCACATTTATCTGACCCACTATGAAAACGTGTTGCGCAGTGTTACCTGTGTGGAGTTCTCAGAAGGTCTGACCGAGCAGGATATTAGTTCACAGCATAATAAAGTTCTGCAGGCGGTTATCTAACTACTCATAAACATAGGCTGACATATGCTGAGGATATTTAACAACAAGTTCACGGACCCCGCAGCTCAGGGCTTTCATAACAAGCCCACAGTAGGAGGAAGTAGAAATCGAAAGTAAAAAGAGAGAGCGTGTAGCGTGACCGCGTGACACACAACCAGTCAGCAGTCACGGAGCTCCCAGCGGCTGCTCCTGGCTCGTGCTGTCGGAGCGCAGACATCCACCTGTGTGACGGACATGCCCTTATTTGGATATGACTACAGGAAGTGGAGCTCCTGCTTCTTGACTCATGGAATTATGAAAGATAAGATTATAGTTTTCTTGCTTCCTGACCAGCCTTTGACACCGGAAACAAGCAGAGACTGACACAAAACCATCACGTCATCAAAACAGCTTAATTCAACTTTTTCTTTTTTGATAATTTGATCATTAAAAACCAAAAAATACAAGCTTTGTTAGTTATTTTTAGGAAATTTGCTGAGTCATAGTGTATTTGAATAGCGAAGAATATTCAACCTGCAGCCATAATGCATTCATTTATTATAATTAAAATAAACAAACATCATTACATAGCCTCAAACATTACTTTGATTGGGACTTATGTAAAAAAGGAACACATGGTAGCAAAAGTAAAACATAAAGGCACATAAATTATAGTTCAAATGTGTATTGAATCAGTGTGTAAGGTGTATTAGACTGAAGGTAACCATTGCAACAATTCTTCATGCACTATTACTGGGGTGAAAGGATTAAACAAACTGCTAACAAAATTTTAAAATAGATATTTCTTTAAATTCTGTGGGTAGTGTTTGTCAGATAAAGTAATGACACACTTCAAGGTGTCCATTCTTTTTTATTGATCAGCACACCTTACTGTCAGGTCATAAAGTATGACAACAAAGCCCGCTGTTGAAATATTTTATTTTTTCATTGGGGGAGAAAATATCAACAATCCTTGAAAAATAACAAGAATAAGAATTATTTGTGGTGATGTGACTTTGACTTGGGTTCCGTCTTCAGGGTCTTGATGTGTCCTCTGCGTCTCACTCTGACACTGAGCCACGCCTGGGAGTTTGCTCCTGAGCTGTTGAATCTGAAGGACTCTAGAAAGGACACACACACACAGACAAAGTCTAATGAGGTGTATAGCATGCAAATGAGTGAGGCAAAAGCAAGATTATAAAACTCCACCCATCAGGCCTGTGACTCTCCTTTTTCCCTCCAAACATGTCAGGTATAAAAAGAGGATTGATGTGAGTGCATATGGAGTTAACAGATTGTTTTGTGCTGTTTGTTCTAAGATTCCTGAATTTAAACTGTTACCAAAAGAAGAAAACGAGTAATACCGTAACGGCTGCGTTAATGACGTAAGTTGAATTATATCTAATTTACTAATAGAATTTTCATTAGTATTGTTGTTTAGCATTATGTAGAGCAGTAACATTTTCTTTTAATATTCCTTGTTTTGGAAAAAAATCATGCGACAACCACCACTGTGTTCAACTACCCTATCTGCAATAAAATGTTGAAACAGCCTCCTGGATCCTGCGTGTTTGAATGTGCACCCCATTATCAGATAATCTCTGAGCAAGCTGCAGCATAATTATACTTTTTTTTTTACCAGGTGTAACTCGTCCTTCAGAGGTGGAAGAAGTGCTCAGATCTAATACTCTATTTAAAGTAAAAATCATGCATTAAAACCTTCTTTCAAATGTAAAAATAGTCCCCACCCCAGGACATCTCCAGCTCTCTGTGCCTCAGGATCATCAAGGACATTTTCCATCCCAGAAATAAACTCTTAGCACTGTTGCAATCTGGAAGGTGCTATGGAAGCCGTAAAAGTCACACTAACAGGCTCAAACACAGCCTCTTCCCCTGGGCCATTAGAACTGTGAATGCTGCTAAGCTGAACCACCACATAAACTAATAGGTGCAATATTTGACCACAGTGCCTTTGGGCATTACATTTTTTAATAACTTTAAATATTCATTAAGTAGCTTTTAGTAGATGTGTGATTTTATATGTTGCTTCTTAAGTGTGTGTGTGTGTGGGTATGGATATGTTACTTTGCACTGATCAGATGTGGCACTTTAATTATGCTGCACTATATGTAATGACAATAAAGGCATTTTATTCATTATGCAGTGGCCCATTTCAGAATAATGTATATTACATTATTGGATTATAATTATTTGTCCATTAATATGTAGTCTACATTACTTCAGTGCTGCAGATAGTTTCTGGTTTCCTCCAGGAATCGTTAAAGTTTTAATCTATACATGATTTTTGTAATTTGCTGGTTACATTTTATATTATTCATCTGGTTATGTAAAGTAAGTAACATAAGTTATCATTTAAATGTAGGAGTACTCATTTTAGAATAGTGTAGGACAGGGGTGTCAAACATACAGCCCAAGGTACGATTCAGCCCACTGGGTGATTTTGCACAGCCAATATTGCTGCACTTGTAAAGTAGTGTGTGATTTCAATAACAAGTTAAACAGTGAACAGCCTACTTCATGTAAAATGCTGCTTCAGAGGGTTTTCCACCATGACTGGAAAACAGTTCTCCCAAAAAAACAATGAATAATTATGTTGTGGTCATGTTTAAAGATACTGAACATCATGCAAAATATTGTCAATCAGCAGCTTCAGTATAAAAGAATCTGTGTCAAACTTCTGTCTTAAAACAATATAGGTGGTACTATATTGCTAAAGCACTGCCAAAACCTTTGATTTATAAATGGTTTGTAAGGCAGGAGATAACCTATAACCTATTTCCTCAATAGCTTAAACTTTAGTTAGTCCGGTGATGTCTGCATTAATACACAGGAGTGGAAATGTACTGAAAAATCTCCATGTATAGACAGTGACTGAATGTAGAAAAACTGAGACATATTTTTGAAACTGCACCTTTTTTTTCTCAAGACATTTCAGGCTGTTTGGAAAAATTAACTGGTCCGGTCCGCTTGAGATCAACTTGGACTGAATGTGACCCCATGACCTTACGTGAGTTTGACACCCCTGATACAGCTTGTAAAAGTAGGGGTATTTTAAATAACTTTAGATACTGCTGGATGGCTTTATCTATTATAGCTATATCATAATTAATTAGTTGATGATGATAATTGATATATTGTGCTATTTATCTGCTGATAATCAGGAATCTTAAGATGAATGTGGTGGAGTAAAGACATAAAGTAACATAAAATGTACAAGTATTTAAAAATTAAAGGATACTTAAGTGCAGTAATTGAGTAAATATACTTAGTTAAATTCACACACTTCTCCTTTTGTTATGATCACTTAGCTGACAATTTATTTTGAGATATATGATGACCAAAAACATGTAAATAATAATAGCTAATAATACTAAACACAACTAGACAGCAGTAATATATGAGCTACTGTCCCACATAAAGCTGAATAACATGGACACTTACTGTCAGTGATGAGGGAGTGCACAGCGGTGACGTGTCTCCGCCCCAGGCCGTGACTCTTGGACAGGACGCAGTCCAGATAGAGGTCCCAGAAGACCCGGGCCAGGTCCCAGAACAACGCCGTGTGTTTACCGTTGTCTGACGACCTGAGGAAGACCATCAGGTCCCAGAAGGCGGGCACCGTGTCAGCGATCCTCGGGGAGCGCATCTCCAGCAGCAGAGCCGAAGAGGAGTCCCAGCACTGCGGGTTGGACCGGTGGGCCGTCAGGGGGTCGACTTGAGCCGGCTTCTGGCCCTGCAGCTGCACGGCACACATGCAGCTCAGCACGAACACTGTGGCCACAGGTATGTTCTGGAGCACTGGGACCATCTGCAGAGGATGCAGCTGGGTCAGCTGTTTCTGCTATTGATTATCAGTAAAGTTTACTAACAATATTGATTATGCCTCATTAAAAATGTAGCTGTTTGAAGAGCGCAGCAGCAACTAAAAACACACATTTCTCTCATTGCAAATGCATTTTTTGATAATAACATTTAAGGAAGCATAATGCATTTCAGAAGGCTACATCTGCATTATATATTTTGTCTATGTATTATACCAAGTCCAAAAATGTTAATTACAGGCTAATAATTCGCCCCACAATCATTTTTAGGATTAATCTGCAAATCCAAACATGTAGATTAATCCTATAATTACACAGAAAACGCAATGAAGGACCATATATAAATAATAATGATATAAAGTATCCTAAATGAAGAGGAGCAATGAAAAAAGTACTTACCACCAAAGCTGGGCCGACTAACAAGACTATAGTGTTGATTGGAGTTTGGTAAATATCTGTTGGGTCTTACTTGACGTCAGTGCCTCCCTCCCTCCTTTGCCAGCAACCTTACTTGTTGTGTAGTGATTTTTACAGCCTTACTTGCAGTTTAAATGCTATCTTTAACAATATTTTGCTGCCATTATTATTATTTTTATTGGGACCTCCTGTTCAGGGAGTCATCTTTTTGTTTTTTAGTCATTAGTATCATGTTTGATTGATTTTTTTTTATTGTATTATTTTCTGATTATTTATTAATTCATTTCCTGTGCATTGTGGAAAAAGTGCAAAACTAATTGCTTCTTAGAATTTTACAAATTATTACAATTAAATGAAAAAATATTCTTGTGAAGTGAGCATGTGTGAAAGAGAGGACATGTCTTGGGTTTGTTCCACACTGATCAGCCAAGTGAATCAGGATTAAATCCACTTCCAGTTCATGAGTGTAAAAAACTTTTTGGTAAAGACTCTCCTGTGGGAGTTTCCCTTCGTGCTATCATAATATCCAAAAAAAAAGGAACATTTAAGTGGAACAAACATTATGAAATTGGTGCAATACTGAATGAAAGGGCTGCAGCAAGTAGCACCAAAACAGGCTGCAATGTAACCACTCATGGCACTGATGCACCATCAAGGTGCGTTTACTAAAACTGGTTGTTTTTGTCACTGACAGGCTCACATGGTCATTATAAGTGTCCGACAACATTATGGAAAGGATCCCCACAGTGAGAAACCTTTTGTTAAAGAGTAAGATCCTTTTGTTCAACTAGAAACAACCCTAAAATAATCCGGTCTCACTCTGAAGTCGTCGAAATCTGGCGCTTGGGCAGAACCCGAACCCTCTTCTTTTTTCCTGAACCCAACCACGTGCGTTAGTTGTTTAAGGCAAAAAAAAAAAAA